TGAAACTGTCTCATTGCTATTTGTTTCTCAATAAAATTATGGCAAAAAGAAAATACTTTGCCAAACACAACAGTAAAATGAAAGAAGATATGGGATCTCTAGGTGCAAAGATCCAGTATGGGAGAAAGGAAACAGGACTTAATGAAAATAGCTCTTCCTGGGGCTGAGCTAACAACCCATTCCCCCATCTGGAAGAGAGCGAAAGCTCTGTGAGAGGGACGCATTCAGGAAAAGGAATGGAGCTGTTGGGCTCCTCGGGAACTTGTTGACCTCACCAGGAGGATTTTTACTGCTCTGTGGAAGTTCCGGAAAAAATGGCAGATCAATTCATTTTTTGAAAATCCTAGCAACTAAATAAACAAGATAATCATTAATTCCAAGAAAAACAAAATACTATAAAAGAAAGGAAATGGAATCATAGGTTACTTCTTGGCTAGCCATAACTAAATGATGATAAGAAAGTAAACAGTGAATATGGGTGTCGCTAGAAATTACAGTATGACCTTATTGGGGGAGTAGTAAATGAGAGACATTTCAGAGAAAGTTTTCACAGCTATTGTCAGAGTTTCCATCCCCCTCAAGTCCAAGTGTTTTTCCTCTATTTCCTGTTTGACCTCTATTCCCAAGAGTGAATTTTCCTCTCAAATCCTTAGCACTTCACCAGTGTCTCAGAATAGGTCCAGGACTCCTCAACACTGGGAGAAAGAAGCAGAGAAAGTTCAGGACTTTTCTGAAGAGAAGAATAAAGAAAATCAGCATCCTAGAGAGAAGTAATCAATAGCTATTGAGCTCTCACACTAGGGGATTTCTACATTGTCCTCAGGCTGTATCTTTATTGAGATGTGAATCTGGATTGTTATCACTATCACTAGGGATAAATTTAGTAACTACTCTGATTATTTTAGTGCAAGATTTTGACAAGGAGAGAGTAAGGGACTCACCCGGTGACTTTCAATAACCTGGGAAATTTTTTTTAATCCTTACACCTGAGCGCCATTCCCAGAAATTCTGATTCAGTTAGTCTGGGTACAGCATGGGCAT